TCAAAATCCAATCGGTTAGAAATAAATGAATGTTCCTCTGTATGATCGGTCAAATTATATCATACCAAACTTTTATTTATTTCTATAAAATTCTACTAGTCAGGAAAGTATCCTTTCTAACAACGATTTTGATAAAAATAAAAGTTAAAGAGAAAAAGACAATACAATGGCCAGAGGTCCCCGAAATTTGACACATCTTTTTGATGCAATTTTGCGAGAGTTACACTTTGGCGTCCAGATATAGAAAGAGAAGATAGGCAATGTCTTTCAGGCATATAAATTGAAGATTGCCATCTTTTAAAAAGATCACGTAATAGCACATTGAAATGTACAGGGTAGAACTGACGGAACAATAAGGAAAGATTTAGGATTTAATTGCACAATTAGAACAAGTAATTTTTTTAAAATTTGTGATATAATTGAAATTATTAAAATGACACTTCTGATGAAACACTGCAGCAGCTGCCCATAATCAGTTCGCTTAAATTGAAAACATTTTCCTATTCTCTCCATATTTGTGGCGAGAACCAATCATTTGTTGTTTGGGTTGTATTTTGTTGTGATTTATACAGGGTTGGACATAATTGGCGGAACACCCGATTTGTGGCTCAATTATGGATTGTATTGAAAATTAACACAAAGTTTTTTTTTGTATATTTTAGGCACTATTTAATGACGCTTGGGAATTTTCATCATCTGTCATTTATCAAGATATGATGTCATCCGATGAAATTTTAAATGAGGGTGACTTATATTTATATTTTTCGGATGATCTTTTATTTCTGCTTTTAGACCTTGAAGAGGATCTACAGCGGCAATTTTGGTTAAAATCCTTACGTATAAGAAAAACTTTTATTTTCCAATACATTATTTTATTCTCTAGGTCGCTCTGCTTTTTAAATAATTCACTTATCATTATGCTGAAATTTTTATTTAAATCGCTTATCGATTTAGCTAGATTTAGATTTTCTTTATCTTTATCGATGTTATTAATTTTGTCCCTGTTACTGTTACAATTAGAAAAACTGGAGGACAATTCCCAAATTTTATCAGCTATATCCAGTAAATCTTTGGTGGTTGATTTGCCTCATACGGTTAAATGAATTTTGGGAGTCTTCTCCTCCATATTTTTAATAATAAAGTTTCGTTAAAGATTGAGTCGCCTGGAAATCGAATTAATTCCCTGTAAAAATTTGAAGGTTTTCTGTCGCCCATTTCGGCCTTTGATAATATTTTATCAAGTCTCTTCTCTTCAGAGAGCGAAAGCCTATTTATGATGGACTCTTTTAGAGCAGTAAATGCATTATTTTCTGAGGGATTAGAGATAATATCGTAAATTTTAGTGAATATGTTTGCCGGTAAATGAGCTATTGCCAAATGGAATTTACTTTTTTCGGAATTAATTTTGTGAATGAAAAATTTGCTTTCTATATATTTAAACCATAGATCTGATTGATGTTCCCAAAAAACTGTAATTTTAACTTTTGAGATCTCTTCTACACAAATATTGTTTTGAACTTGACTAGGACCCTATTTACGTGAAACCTTGTCGCGGTCATAGTCGACGTTGGTCCAAGGTCGTGTTTCTTAGATGTGACTACCACAGACCTTTTATATATTGTTTATAGACAGTACACTCAATGTATAATTTTCGTAGCTGATTTCAGCGCCCTCACAGTGGTGGGGGTTTAAACTAAACGATGGCGGCAATTTTTGAATGTCTGAATAATTTTTTGGAAGCACACTTTGAACGTGGTTATTATGTGTACCATTAAAGTTGAGATTTGATTACAATAAGCAAACAAATCGTAACTATAATGGTTTAATCATGTTTTGGTGCTACATTTTTTTATGAAATGAAACCATTTATTATATTTATAATGATTTATTTATAAAATGTAAAATTCGGGTATTATTTTAACTAAAACTAAAAATTGCTAAAAATAAGGCAATAATAATAGGTACATGCAAAATATTAAGATAAAATAAAAAAGATTCAAGTGTTTTCATTTTTTTAGTTTTATCTTATTTCTTATATTATAGGTATCTTGTGTTAGCAAGAAGACGTATTTTACCACTAAAATAATGTAACAACCTGGAACCCGGAACACTTTACAATCATGACTGAAAGTTTATCCATTATATCAAATGTAATGTGGTCGCATTAATCCTTCCTCAATGTGGTCACTGACCAATGTAAGCCGAAACTAATCGCGACACTGCCTATTAAATTAACTTTATGCTGTGGTATTAATTTTGTGCTTTATTTCCATTTCACTATGGACTTTCTGTTTTATTTCCATTTCACTATTGACTTTCTGTTTTATTTCCATTTTATTATTTAACAATCAGTTCAAAAACAAACAAATCACTCACAAAATTCATAAAAATAATAAAGAAATAAGAAATATTTGTGGTTATGTAGGTATCAAGTACACAAAGCAGGCAGTGTTGTCACGGTCAAATGGTGATAATTCTCATCAATTACCCCGAACGCCTGAAGTCACCAATAAATGCAATAGTGACGATGAAAATATTTTATAACATGACTTTTCAGCAATAGTACATACTACTAAATGAAAAACGGCAAAAACGCTATAATCTTGAATTAATAAATTATAAATCAATTCATAAAAGTTCATTAGTTAATTAAGAATGCCCAAAAATCGGGTAAAATTATTGCTATTGGCAACGCTGCACAAGCGTGTCCTATAAACGATGACGGTGGCGACCTCACGACGGCGGGGGTATGAAACTTAACACGCATTGACCTTGACGGTAAGAGTGGATACACTGTGGTGACTACGGTTCTGCTTTGATTCTACCCATGTCGATGCTGCTGCGGCTACTGTTGCTATCGCAGATTCTTATTCTTGAATGGGTCACAGGTCAATATTGTGGGTGCTTGTTTCTCATGCATGGCTGCATCTCGGGCTGTTCTTGCGGGGTCACCGATGTAGGTTCCAACTATTTAGGATCCTATCAAATAAAAAGACTTCATTAAATAAATGTATATATAATTTTAAGATAAAGAAGCCAAAATATATAATCGGTCGCGACGACATTAAAATTAAAATGCCAGACGTTTATATAAATATTTCTTAATGCCTGGCAGTCCAGGTCGTTCCGTTGCCAAGGTTTTTGGCGACATAGGGCGCACAAGATTATCGACTAAGATCTGCGCTTAAGGCTTGGCGTTTCCCGACACTGACACTTGGCTAACCTCAATAAAATCGACCTAGGTCTTAAACTAATAGTGGATTTTATTTGTTACACTAGTGTCACACTCGACATTATATTCGAACTGTCATACTTGTCAAAAGTATATGATATACGTGTGCTACTGACAAATATTTGAAGCTACCTGAACAAATCAAATGCGATTAGTGCAGAAGACTTACACCTAGTGCAACAAATAAAATCCACTATAAAAATGACATGAAAGTCAAAACTAAAGGTAAGTTTATGGTGATCGCAATGTCGCCACAAGTACCATTTTGCTGGAACCAAATTTAATCAGAAAGTTCTAAGTTTATATTTATATGATTTGGAAATAAACGAACTAACTCTTGAATTATCTGTTCTTAAAGAAGTTGCAAATAATGATCACATTTCAGAGTTTCTCTCATGAAGAATGGTCCAATAATTCTTCCTCTAACTATACCAGCCCAAACATTTTACTTCTGTGAATATTGGGTGTGACCATTTTCTATCCAGTGAGGATTATGATCAGACCAATACCGGCAATTATGTTTATTTACAAATCCACTGAAACAAAATGTTGATTCGTCGAAAAAAACAATGTTCTTCAACATATTATTTCCATTAATGGCATCCATCATTTCCTGACAGAATTACATTCACCTATCTGGGTCATATTCATTAAATTCTTTGCGTAATTGCACTTTATAGGGATGCCATTTCAGAATCTTTCTTACAGATCTCTCGCTCATATTATTGTCTAACGCAATCTTTGGAACTGAAGTTTTTGGTTATCCTCTTCCGTCCTGATATGGGATTGTTTTTCACACTTCCTGTTTCATTGAACTTGCTCAAACTGAATACTGTAGATTTAGAAATCGGGGAGGCCTGTCAGGAAGTGTTTTATCAAACAAATCGCAAGCTTCTTGCAGAGGTCTTTTTCTGTCTCCAAACCCAATAATCATCAATAGTGTAATTCTTTCACGTTCACTCAGTTCAACCATGGTTTAAATTAATAAAAATTCTCTGTAGTATCAAATGTTGAAAGTTATTTATTGTCGCTTATTGGGCTAGTTTGGGTGAAATGAATAGACTTGCAATTAAACTCAAATTTGTTTAATTGTCTCCATAAACCAGAATGAATTAAAATCTACAGATTAATAAAAGGTGACAATATAAAAACCAAGTAAACATTGGCAGGTATTTCTTTCAGAGATGTACAAGAATCGTATTAAAAATAAGAGATGTCAGTATGACATTTAAAATGTCGAAAAGTGAAACCATGGCAAAACAATTCAAATTGGTACATTATGATAGCACAGATAACTGTGTGGATAGTTATTCATTAATTATTCAAAACAACGTTCACCTTTCTGTTTTATTATTTTCTTATGATAAGGTAAGTCAGAGACCACCCGAACCCTATACTGATGGATTCAAAAAGAAAAGATCTATCTGAATAAAAAAAAATCATCACATGATGTCACATCTTAATAAATATGACAGACGACGAAAATACTCAAGCTTCATTAAATAGTGCATAAAATATAAAACGAAAAAATTTATTCGAGTCAATTTTCAGTACACTACATAATGAGCCACAAATTGGGTGTTATGCCAATTTTGTCAAACCCTGTATTTTATCTTCCACCTTCTTATTATTTGGATTATTTTTTGCTTATATTTCATGCTTTCATCCTTATATTTAAGTTAATTAATCTTGTTTATTGTTAATAAGTAATATCCATCCGCACAAATCTACATTAATGTCTAAAATACCGACAATTTCTTGACCGCAGGTTACCTCCAATTGGTGGAAAACAAGATAAAAAGCCTCAGCGTATCGGTTAGATTAAAAAAACCGGATCCCGAATTCGAATCCGTGAAAGAATATGGAACCACTCTATCGACCAATCTAAATAACGTTCTCAAAGCTCGTTCTAGAGTCGCCGAGAAGCAGTTCAACGTCCATAAGCTTCACGCGAACTACGGAAGGGTTTTCAGCGAATGGAGTGCCATAGAGAAGGAGATGGGGGACGCCCTACAGAAAACCGGCCATTATTTGGATTCCTTGGCTTTAAGGTAACTTTTAGGGTCCTTCACTTGGATGTACTCATTTTGGACAGTTTATTTTACCAATTTTCGCGATTTTAATGTCCCGGTAAATTATTTAAATTGACCAATTCGACAATCCTACTGACTGTGCCCCTTTTAGGTTCTTTAATAAAAATTTGAGCTTTAGTTAATGATCTTAACCATATAAAATGTAAAAGATATAATTGCTTTGGCAATTAACTAGTTTTGTTGTGGATAGATCTTGGTGGACCCTTATCTTGGGACTTGCAACGTCTACGTAATTCATATGGCAACGGAATATATACAAACAATTTCATTTACTTTGCAGCATAGACGCGAGCCTCGAGGACGAAGAACTCTTGGCGGACCAACTTAAAGAGTATCTGTTCTTCGCGTATGCCTTGCAAAACCTCTGCAAGAACCACGAAATGATGCAGTTGCAGCTAGAAGACGCCGAAGATAGCGTAACCAATAAAAATACCGAACGTAATAGAGTGCAATTGGGCAAAACGGGTCTCATGTCCAAACTTTTCGGTGCAGTGGACACCGAAGAGGTTAGAGAGTATAAGGTCAGTTTGTTGGACCAGCAGATTCAGGATGGTGTTACGACCGTTAACAATGCCAAAGATGGTTTATGGTGAGTAAAAATCGAGCGGAAGGGAGGGGATAAGTTTGAAGTATAATTTTATTTTTTTATTGTAGTGATTTTACTGAAAAAGCGAAAAGTGATATCGAGCGGTTTCAGAATCAAAAGGTTTTAGATCTCAGAGATACTCTTAGCAGCTATGCATTTCTTCAATTAAAAGTTGCTAAAAAGGTAAGGACTGCCAATCAAACGTCAAATGCCAAAACAATTAGTCACATTTCAAAATAGTACGTCAAATGTTAAAAAAAGTATTCAAATGTCAAACAATTACGTCGATTGTCAAAAAAGCTCGTCAAATGTCAAGATAATATGCCAAATATCATATTTGATGTGATTTGAAGTTAGTAACTGATCGTTTCGAGTAAACTGATTTGTATTTTCGATATCTGTCTATATTTACTGATATTATTCATAGGCCTTTTATCACAATTTTTTTTGAGCGCATGCCAGCCATATTTTTCGTAGTTTTTGGTAAATGCCCAAGTAAAAAAAAATATAATCGATAAATATTAATTCAAGTATATTCGTTTGAAACTTAATTTTGTTTTATAAATATCGTTTATTACATTTGAATAAAAAATAGTAGAATTAATTTTTGTAAAATAAAATGTTATGTTTGAGTTGCATTTTTCTTTAAATTTGTCATTAAGAAAATATTTACAAAACAATCTTTTAGATTCTGATGAAAAAACTATTTGATACGCCCATGGAGATCACAGCTGCCAAAAGCCTATGTTAAACGGCGTTAAACTTATCTATATTTCATTTGTTTATCCGAGATTAAAACATGTTCAAAATGTGCATTATAGGTGATAAATGTGGCGGAAGTGACAAAGGTTTTCGATCGATTGATAATGTTGCTAAATATACTTACTGGTATTACACAATATTTTTTTAATATTAAATACTACTTCGGCATACACAGTAATATTAAAAATATCATGATCTTCAATATATTAAATAATTTGTTTCATTAATTATACTTGTGATTAACTTTAAAGTGTTTCGGTACGTACTAATAGTTGGTTGGTATAATTAAAAAGAATAGAGTTATAATTATTATTTTTTATTAATTTTTTACATAGTAAACAATTATTGATACCTAACCACTCAATCAGTACACTTTTTTCCTTGTTGCGATTGTTTATGACACTTCAAGCACCTTTCAGATTGCTCACAACTATGTGCTTCCACAGAGTTATAAAAAAGTGAATCACCATCAACGGTTATTTCTAATGATTGATTTATCTTAGAGATAATATTGCTTTTCCAGCCATTGTTGATCAAAATAGTACGAAATTTTTGAATTATTGTTATATGACGGCTGCGCTTGCGCTCATCACATGATGAAAAGGCCTATTATGAAGACTTTTTGTGTTTTAGGGTTTGCAAACTTGGGTTCAGATCAAGGACTGCCTTCAGAGTATTCCATAACTGTGCTTAATAACGTACCTATACTTAAATTTATCCTATACCTATGATTATAATTTACATTTTTGTCAAAATGAATCGAATTTTTAAGATAAAGCTTATTGTAAATAATGATATAAATGTTATTTTTTGTTATTTATTCTAATATTTATACATGTTATATTATATTTTTTTCTTTATCGTTTGTTTCAGGTAATGTTTCACAAAAACGTTGAATGTTAACATTAAATTAAAATAATACACATTATATTGTCTATTTTTTATTTTCTTTCTTACAAAATAGAAAAACGGATAATATAAAAGGACTCATTTCGTTAGTTAAACTGATAAATTTTTGCATTTGAAAAAAATCTCAAAAGAGTCCATCTAAAAATATTTATCTACAATATAGCTAAATAGCAAAACAGTTAAATGCAAATTTCATTACATTCCTGCCCCACGTTGGGCGCCAAATATGTTACGTTACTCATAATGTTGTAAAAAAATACGTTCAGCAAAAAGTAGGGCCGATCTCTGAGTATTTATATGTTATTTAGGTAATATAAAAAGCAACCTTTATTCAAACGTTACTTCTATCGTAAAAACATTTTGCTTTGTAAAGGATAGCCATTTTGAAAATTTAAGCTGACTTTTTCGTTCCCATTATTTTTTCAAAGTAAAAGCCTATTACTAATGTGTAAGTAAAGGTGTATCTAGTGTGTATGGAAGGGTTTCGAAGGCGTCTGCAATTTTTCAGTAATATTAAATCTAATTCTATTTTTTGTGCCAAAAATTAGGAGATACACGAAAAAACGGACTTTTTAACACATTTGAAGTTATTTTCGATTTATTTACCGTCAGAAACGTTTGGCTAATAATTAAATACGTAAAAAATAGTTTTTAATCTTACAAAATTTCCAAAAACCCTGGAATTTGGACATTTTATTTCTATCGAAGATCGTAATTTTTTTAGGTTATTTTTTCGATTAATTTAACGTCAGAAATGTATGGAAATAGTTCAGTACGTTGAAAAATCGTATTTTTAAATTTGATTTTTCTAGGAGAAACAAATTTTATTTATGTTTTATTAGGATTTTGTAATGGCATAAAAATTAATGTTTATTTTATTACACTTATTTTTTTGCTAATAGGAATGCAGGATAAATTGATCTTATTACTTGGTTTTATACATTTCTTTAAATCTGTTTAAGAATAGTTATTTGTATGCTTAGGCCACGAAATACCATTTTAACGTACCGAAAGAATAGTTATCGCCGAGGCCGCTTGCGGCCGAGGCAAGATAATCTTGAGGTTGTTAAAAAGTTTCGCGGCCATGGCATACACACTATTTTTCGTGCAATCGTTAAAATTATTGATATTGTAAATACATATATTATTGCTCTAAAATCAATTTATTTAACAATGTCACCGTGTGCTATGGAAATGTTCAATACATACAAAATATTTTGACAGTTCTTGACAAAACGCAAAATGTTTGATACTGATAGCAATATTTCAGTACCTTCCACTCCTCCTAAACTCAAGAGAGTTGTAAATTCGGCGATTTCCGTTTTAATACCCGAAAATAAGAAGCATAGACGGACATTTGGATATCCATATTAGATCCACTGGATATATGGGATATCCACAAAATATCTTCTGTGGATATTCTGGATATAGAGGGACATTTGGATATTCATATTAGATCCACGGGATATTTCTGATATACTGTGGATATATTGGATATCCACAAAAGATATTCTGTGGATATCTCTGGGATTTGGTGTGTTGTCTGGGTATGTGTCTTCTTCTCCTCGGTGTTTTAACAAATTCATTGTGTGCCATTGTTTAATGCCAAAGAAATATTCCGAGATTCCTAATCTTCTAGAAATGATCAGTGGAAGAGAAAAATGGTTAATGTTCGTAGAGTAAATAAGAAGCTCAATAGTGAGGTTAGGATATGCCCATCTGATTGAACTTATGAATGTTTTATTGGGGGGTTTTCAAAGCTTTAAATTTATTGATTCATTTTTTGATTAATTTAACGTCAGAAACGTATGACTAATGATTATGTTAAAAAACGGTTTTTAATTTTACGCAATTTTCAAATACCCTGGAATTCTAAACATTATTTCTATCGAATATTTAAATATTTTTTGGTTCATTTTTTGAATAATTTAAACGTATGGCTAATGTTCAGATGGTCGAAAAATCTTATTTTTTTGATTTGAAAATGTTTCAAGGAATTCCGAAGATGTCATTTCCATCAAAGCCCTAAATTTTTTGGGTTTATTTTTCATTTAATTTAACGTCAGAAACGTATGGCTTTTTAAATACAATAAAAAAAATCGTTTTTTAATGAAACAAAATTTTCAAAACCCTGGAGTTCCGAACATTTTATTTATTTCGAGAAACGTTTGGTAATGATTAAATACGTTAGAAAATCGCCTTTTATTTTCACAAAATTTTTAAAGACCCCGGAACTCCAATCATTTTATTTTTTATCGAATATGGTTAATTTTTCGATTCAGTTAACCTTAGAAACGTATGGCTAATTGTCAGTACGTTGAAAATCGTACTTTTAAATTTGAATTTTTTTCAAAAACTCTGGAATTCCGAAGATTTCTTCTTCTTCATTCTTTTATTGAGCTTTGTTCTGCAGAACAATTTATATTTCATTTCCATCATAGCTCTTAATTTTTTGGTCATTTTTCAATTAATTTAAAGTTAGAAACGTATGGCTAATGATTAAATATGTAAAAAAATAGTTGTTATTCGAATGTGTCAAAAAACGTCGTTTTACGGACAGAAAACATAGTCGAGTGTGGAACGTGACATTTTTCACACGAGTGGGAAATATTGTCGCACGAGACACAAGCCGAGTGCGACTATCACACGAGTATGGAAAATCTCTTTTCACACAAGTGATGTACAATATTTTTCCTACGACCACAAAATAATTTCATCAAAAAATGTAAAACCAGGTTATTATTATAATAATTAAAATGTATTTAAAAAAATAATCAACAATAATCGTATTTATTCAATTTTCATATTTTCTAAACAAAAAAAATTAGGAAACAAAAAAAAAATAAAAAAAACAATAAAAAATTCTGGCCCCGCCAGGATTTGAACGCGGTCGCTCGCCAGGTCTCAAATAGCAAAGTTGTAACCATCTGAGCTAACAGGCCTTACGTCAATTGAATGATCTAATTGGTTATATGCTTAACCAGAAAAAAAAGCAAACATATCTTAGTTATTTTACTACTCATTTTTGTATTTTTTTTTGACACCAATTTTTAATAAACTAGGCATTTAAATTAATTAGACATGAAATGAAATTGTTCAATTGTACTCATAGTCAACTCAGTTAAGGAAAAATTATCGAAAATATATCATTTCAGATTTAATTTTCTATATATTTTTTAATATCTAAGCACATTCGAATAAAAAACAATGTGTGAAGAAACATGGACGAAAAGTAGAGTTTTTCGGGCGACTACGAGAAGCTTGCCATGCAAGACGTAGTCGAAGCCTGTCAAGTATTTTAACTATTTTAATTTTACAAATTTTTTATAATTTCTGAAATTCCAAACATTTCATATCTATTGTTGATTCGTTTTTCGATTAATTTAATGATTAAATACGTTAAAAAGTAGGTTTTTGATTTTAAAAAATGTTCAAAGACCCTGGAATTCCAAACATTTTATTACTATCCAATATCTAAATTTTTGGTTAATTTTTCGATTAATTTAACGTCAGAAACTTATCCGACTAATGATTAAATATGTAAAAAAATAGTTTTCTACACCTACATGGATATTAGCTTATCTACAAAACGAAAAAGTATATTGCCTTCAACTGAACGAATATATTTCATATCCATTCTAGGTAGTTTGAAGACTGCAAAAAAATGAAATCCACCAATTAGCTTTCATATTTTGATCAACCGACTGCTATTATTTTAAAAATTTTAAATAAGTGACAATTCTGTCAAACTAATTGTCAATATATTTTTTATTTATTAAGATAAATATACATTAAAATGAGTTATTTTTGTGTAGAATCGATAAATAATCGTAAATAATAGCATTTCTATTTTTATTTGAACCATATTTTGAAAAAAATAAATTGAAATTTAATCAAACTATATGAAACTATTTTAATTACGAGTATTAGAACCAAAATGATAGTGGACGTAGAGCCATGGACAGAGAGCTCGACTTCCACGCGAAAAGCCGAGGATCAATTCTCGGCGGGCGACTATTTTTTTTATTTCATATTTATTTTATTTTAAAAATCAATAAAATTAATAAATTATTTTAAAATTAGTTATTTTATCTTAATAACCTAAAATATTTTTTTAATTTGTATATTTCCGTTAGTGGGTCGTAGAAAAAATATACTGTACAACTCGAGTGGATTGTCCATATTGCATTTAGACTATTGAGCACTCCGCCTCAAATTTTGTCTTCGTGTGATATGGTCATCATTTTAGACCGTCAGATAGTGACTGATTTAGGTGCCCCATTTTCGCATACAAGCCTCGAAGAGGGTTAAAAAGTACATCGATTTTGAGTAGAATGAAAGGAAATTTACGAATGGCCCCTGGGGATAACATATGGAAAATTCGATTTTCTTTAACAGAAATAAAAGATGTTTTTTGCACATTTTTTCCAAGCAAGCCGTTTTCACTATATGATTAATAATTAGAACTAGGCTTCAGAAAACCAAAGGTTTTAATGTTGCAAGTGGCTAAAGGGTTGAAATAAGGGCGTAATCTTGTAAAGAAAAATCGATATTTTAACTGATTTTTCCACACAAGCCAATCGAAAGTATGAATACATACATGTCATTAGCCCGAAAAACATATTGGCTTGAATGGTGCGAATGGATAAGTGCATTTTGGAGTTAGAAAAATTACCACACATTTTTTTTGATTTATGAGTTATTTTTTCATGCAAGCCTTTTTAACCATAGAATGTTATTAATGTGTTAGACGTAATAATAAAATTGGCATGAGTATCGGATGTGGACGAAACGAAGGCTTGCGTCGGAAAGTTGCAGGAAAATTGTATGGAAAATGTCACCATTTTCGCACGCTAGCCGTTTGACATAT